GTTCTCGCTCGGTAGTTTGATCGCGCAGTCGTTTAGCCTTCCACAGTCCACGCTGTGGAGTTCCAATCTTTCACTTGAGCTGAAGTAATGTAGACATCTGAAAAATATTAAAAATTTATATATGTATATATATCTTTTTAAAAAATAACATATTTTTTTATAAATTTTATTGATTCTCACCGATCACAAATGTGCTTTTTGTGCTCCTTTCTGCTGAGTTGAGAACTCACGAGGCGGGACATGTTCTTAATACATGTGAAATGTCCAATATCATCCTGCTCATTCTGCAGATATAGGAGATTCACATGCTTATCCCTCTTTTGGCTGGTGAGCCGTATCGGCAGGATTGTATGATTTTTCTCAATGCAGTACACATTAATTGAAATGCCATTGAGATTTTCAAACTTCTTGATACTGTGTTAACGAGTGCGGCTGCGCGTGAGCGGGTCGTGGTGGGAGAGTAGAAGACAAGATGGTAGCAACGGTATTGTACGCAAAATGTATCGACAGACCACATAAAGTTGTGCATGGAGACTGTAAGCCATACAATTGATCGTTCTTCATTAACATAATTGGCGCAACAACGTAGGGCTACACACGGCTGAGGAAGCGAGTCGCATGAAAAAACGCGTAAGATCCACGATCGATGTACAAGCGATGCGGCAGCAAGCGGACGTCGCGTGGAAAAAAGGCGTAACAGAGCAAGTGAGACGCACGAAACAAGGCGTCAATATACAGCATCAAGGAGTGCCAAGGAGATTCACCGACGGCACGAGCGTTCAGCAACACTAGAGGGATTCCAAAAGGGAAGTCGCCTAAGAGCGGGACGAATAAATAAGTGTCGTCATCTCGCTGACACTACGTAACCTCAACACACGGAAGGCCACCAGGGCTTGAAGCAAGCTTAAGAAAGTGAGTGATCTGCTCAAGGAACTCCCTTTAACTTAGCTATATTTCAGAATCCGGTACAAAATGAAGGAAGTAAGAGTATTGAAACAAAGTCGTGCCCGATGCATAGGTAATGTAACAAGGATATTGACTTACCTGGATTCAGATGAGCCAAAAAATGTAAACGACGCACAAGTACGATTAGCAAGACTCTCAGAATTGTGGAACAGATTTGAGGAAATACAGAACGAGCTTGTCGAAGCAAGGCCGGAGGCAAGCAAAGCAGAACTTGAAGCGATACAGGCAGAGAACGAAGCCGAAGGGCAACTCTTTGAGGTCGGCTACTACAAGGCAGCAGCGAGGCTTCAGCAGATCATTACAGAGGCCACACGTGCAGATCGAGCAGCGCAGACACCTCAACCTGTTGCAGAAAGGAATCAGCAGCAGCGGAGAAGCAAACCAAAGCTCCCAGAAATAAAATTACCAGAGTTCAGCGGAGATTTCACGAAGTGGATTTTCTTCAAGAATAGTTTTGAAACTACCATACACAGCGATCCGGATTTAACACCAATGCAAAAACATCAATATTTGGTAGGCCAGCTTCAAGGAGAAGCACGTCAGGTCATTCAGGGATTCACTATATCCGACGAAAACTACGAAAATGCTTGGGAGCTTCTAACGGACACCTACGATAACACCATGCTCATAATTGAAACACATCTTGAAGCGTGACTGCAGTTTCCAGACATCACGAAAGAGAACAAGGCCGACTCCATCCGGCAATTCGTGTGGCACATTCGCACACACACGAAGTCGCTCGAAGCTTTGCAACAGCCAGTTGACAAGTGGGAGACGATGCTCATTCATTTGGCAAGAAAGAAGTTGGATTTTATTGAACAACGTGACTGGCAGAATATCGCGAAGGGTCGAGGACCCGATGACATGCCAACAATGGAGGAGTTTCTAAAATTTCTAACAGAACGCTGCCACACACTACGAGTACTTAATCAAGGAAAGGTAAAATCGCAATTGAATGAGAAGTCAGCAACTAAGATGAAACGGGAAAAGAAGGTCTCACTAACGACCACTGCAACAAGTTGTAAAATTTGCAGCGGAAATCATGCTGTTTATCAATGTGAGGAACTTCTCAAGCAATCCATCTCAGACAGGATGAAATTAATACGGGAAAAGAAGCTCTGCATAAATTGCTTGAATGCTGGACATGTAGCGAAGGAATGCAGATCGTCAGCATGCAGGAAGTGTGCTGGACGGCACAATACACTTCTCCATCGGGAGGCCGCAGATCAACCGAACGAAAAGGAAGCATCGGCAACATCGGTGGTTACGTGCTGCTCTGACGAGGCGAGTGTCGTCGCAACGAAAACGCCAATGAACACCGAACAAGAAAATCAGCCCTGGAGCATTTTCTACGTGCAGAAACCAATGTCAAGAGTGATTTTATCGACGGTAAGAGTCTACGCTTACGATGCCGGAGGAAACCTGCAGACGTGCAGGGCTTTACTTGATCCAGGGTGTTCCGGATTCAATTATGAATCTCGGTCTGTTCGTCACCGGCGTGCGGCTACCGCCATGCAAATGGCCGTTAGCCCGGATCACGGCTCTACATCCTGGGAAGGATGGGCTCGTGCGGGTGGTGACTCTGAAGACAGCCACTACCACTCTCATCCGACCAGTAGTCAAGCTCGCCGTTCTGCCAATCTCATCATAAGATCAAGGATCATCAACTACGTTGCTGATGGCGGGGAGAATGTTCCGGATTCAATTATGAATCTCGGTCTGTTCGTCACCGGCGTGATGGCAGCATCAGCCGGGTCAGAGCGTGCAGCGCCACAGGAGCGCTGCGCGCGCATGCCCGATCGCAACGCGAGGCGACGGCGCTTCTTCACGCTCGTTTCCGGGGCTTTTTTCGCTCATGGCTACGGTACGAAGTACACGCGTCGTGCAGTGCTAAGGATTCTCAAGTGCTATAGTGGACTTTCTTCATCACGGATAGACTCAGTGTGGACACGTAGTGAACTCAGCAGTGCGATTCAACCAGGACAGCTCGGGATACAGCATCACCGGCAGCTCAAGCTCACCACGCATCGCACGCCGGCGTCGCGTGGACACGGCTCACGGGCATCCGCAATCACGAGGCCGGTCATCGATTAATATAATCGACCCGTGCAAGTGACACAGAGACTGATCATCCCCATTAAACCCTAGACTGCTCAAACTGTAAGCTTTTACATGTATTAAACGGACCACGGTATTTTACACAATCGATTCGAGTTACGATCACGTGATTTCTACCCTCGCAAGCGTGCATCCGTTCCCCGAGTCTCTCGCCGCAAAGTCCTCTCAGCCCTGCTTCCAACCGCAGCGGTCCAGCGAGCTCTCCCAAAAGAGAGTCGCGAACACAGGGTCTCAGTCAAATTTAGTAACAGCGAGTTTCGTGAGGAAGCTCAAGTTAACATGCCAATCGGAAAATCGCCCTATCGCTGGAGTGGGCCAAACGCAAGCGAGGTCAGCAAGGAAGACCGACATACAAATCAAATCAGCTAATAGTGAATTCACAGCGACATTGGAGTGTCTTGTGTTGCACACCATAACGGATTGACTGCCTCAAAGTAAAATAGATGTGAGCAGGATCGCCATGCCAAGGGACTTGTGTTTAGCAGATCCGAGTTTCGACGTACCAGACGCAATTGATCTGCTCATCGGGTCAGGATTGTATTGGAAGATACTTTGCGGGGCACCGAGGAACAGTGTAAGAGACCAGCCTGCATTACAGAATACGAAGCTTGGTTGGATCATCGGCGGAGAAATGTGTGAAGCCGAACATCATTCATCGAAAATGTGCTTAACGATAACAACTGACATGCTACATCAACAATTGGAACGTTTCTGGGCTCAAGAGGAGATTACCGAAACACAATTACAGTCAGTGGAAGAGAAAACCTGCGAAAGGCAATTCATCGATACCTTCAAGCGAGATGCAATTAGAAGATTTGTCGTAAGATTACCGACTCGAGCAGACATACAGTTGGGGGAATCAATGGAACTAGCTATGAAGCGTCTGATGTCCCTGGAAAGGCGTTTCAAGAAGAACCCGGATTTGAAAGAAGAGTATGTCAAGTTTATGAAGGACTACATAGAACAGAAGCATATGTCATTGGTTTCGAACAGCAAGAATTAAGGGGCTGAATCTTACATACTACCCCATCAAGCGGTGGTGCGAACGGAAAGCGTCACAACCAAACTTCGCGTTGTGTTTGATGCGTCGGCCAAGACCACGCTCGGCACTTCGTTAAATGACAAACTCATGGCAGGCCCGAATTTACAACGAAATCTAATCGATATCATTCTTCGGTTTAGGACTTACGAGTACGTCGTGACAGCGGATGTCGCTCAAATGTTTCGTCAGATCCTTGTTGACGAGAGGGATCGACCATTGCAACAAATACTCTGGAGGGAAGACCCAAGAGAAAGGGTGGAGCTATTCGAGCTGAACACTGTCACCTATGGAACGAGTTCGGCACCCTACTTGGCAATACGGTGTCTCCGACAGCTGGCAGAAGAAGGCAGCGACCTACCATTGGCGGCGAAGGCAATCCTCGACGACTGCTACATGGACGATGTCCTTAGTGGAGCCGGGACTATTGAAGGGGCAATGGAATTACAGAGACAATTGTCTCAGTTACTAAAACGAGGTCAGTTCCATCTTCGTAAATGGCGTTCAAACGATCCGCGGATTTTGAAACATCTCGTTGCGAGGAGCAGGACAGACGAAGCGCTTGTCATGGACAAGGAAGGAGCTCTTAAAACGCTAGGACTCTTGTGGAACGCCCAATCTGACAGTTTGCAGTATAAGGTCGAATTAGAAGAAACACGATGGATAACGAAGAGGATCGTACTATCAAAATTAGCTTAGATTTTTGACCCGTTCGGACTTATGGCACCGGCGTTAATAAACGGGAAGATAATCATGCAAGGACTGTGGATAAGGGAGCTCGGATGGGACCAGCCGATTCCTCAGGAGCTCTCAACTGCATGGGAGGAGCACTACAAGTCGCTGGTGAGAATCAATGCGCTTCAGATACCCCGGAACGTGGTTCCTGCAAATAACTTAGGGCAATTTGACATATATGGATTCGGAGATGCCTCCGAGCGAGCGTACGGTGCTTGCATATATGCGGCGAGCAGAGATAAGCGAGGGATTGCACACTCCCACCTTATCTGTGCAAAGGCAAGAGTGGCGCCACTCAAAACGGTTTCCATTCCACGATTAGAGCTGGAAGCAGCTCTTCTGCTCTCACGTCTGTGGGCCGTTGCGAAGAAGGCGTATGGGGAACAAATCAGAAATACAAGATTGTGGAGCGATTCAACGGTCGTACTTGGATGGATAAAGACTCCGCCGAATAAATTGAAGACATTCGTAGCAAACCGTGCCTCCAAAATTCAAGACATTACGAAGAACATCTCTTGGTATCATGTGCCAACAAACGAGAATCCGGCTGATTTACTGTCAAGAGGAATCAGTACCGAGGTGTTAGCTGAAAGTGAGCTATGATGGCAT